AGGGCACGATACTGCTGACTGCCCCTGCTTGTCAGAGGTGCAAAGCCCGGCATGAAGAAATGCAAGCGGGGGAAGGGCACCATGTTGACAGCTAGCTTACGGAGGTCAGCGTTGAGCTGTCCAGGGAAGCGGAGACACGTTGTCACACCACTCATGGTGGCTGATACCAGGTGGTTAAGATCTCCATAGGTGGGTGTGGTTAGCTTTAAAGTGCGGAAGCAGATATCATACAAAGCTTCGTTATCAATGCTAAAGGTCTCATCTGTATTTTCCACTAGCTGGTGTACAGAGAGAGTGGCATTGTAGGGCTCCACCACAGTGTCAGACACTTTCGGGGAAGGCATGACACTGAAGGTGTTCATAATGCGATCAGGATACTCCTCACGGATTTTGCTGATGAGCAGTGTGCCCATTCCTGAACCTGTGCCTCCACCCAGGGAGTGGGTGAGCTGAAAGCCCTGAAGGCAGTCGCAGTTTTCGGACTCCTTTCTCACCACATCTAGCACAGAGTCCACCAGCTCAGCTCCTTCGGTGTAGTGACCTTTAGCCCAGTTATTTCCTGCTCCACTTTGACCTGCATGAAATAATTTTTAAAGACAATTGATGTTGAAAAATATTGTTTTAGTTAACACATCTATACACATAAAGGTTTTACATTTGTGACCAAAGAATCAATTGACTGACACGAAATCTTGCACAGACAATAGTGATACACAATGGATCATAATAAATTAGTGATTATTTAACTTTTTATCTGGCATCAAGATGAAGTTGATAGTTTTGATATGTCTTGTCAGTTGTTGGATACAAAATATGTTACAGTTATTCATAATTATAGCCCAACAATTTATCGATACGTTGATACTATCAGCTGATATTTGCTATTTGCCAATCTATCAGTATCAGCATTAATAAAAGAGACAGGAGAAACACCCTTCAACCATGTTATGAGTGTTGTGGCTGCATAGTTTGTCCACCAGAGGGCACTCTGCAACTTCCCTGTACGCAGTAGATATTCACAGCACTACAAAGATCATAGAATATCGGTATCTGTATTGGTCTTGAAAATCATCGACTGGATGGTTCGCCATGAAATTAAGACCAGTGGTCAACACTTATTATGCCATAATTTTGTCAAACGTTGCCAAATGAAACTGGCAAGATAATAAAGGTTCCCACTTGTCTGATATGTATCGACAAGCTAAGCAAAACAGCAGCTGTTGTGAAATTTTGGATATTTCCATGTGTGCACTACCAGTTCACTCAAAACAAAAGTGAGCCTTGGTGTAGTTTTACAAAACTTCTTAGAAAGCTGATTAAAACTTGGCAACCAATTTGTAATTCAAAATAACTTATTTCTCTGGAAAGCATCAGTAAGTGATTTATCTGCCATTTTCAACTTGTTAGCACTTGTTATCCAGTGACAAAATAGATTGCCATCTTGGGATAAATGTTTTTGGCCCTCATATTATTATTTGCTTTCTGTTCTGCTGCAGAATCTCCACATAGACTGTATTTTTGCTAAGTCACCACAAGAGCTGTCTCAGTCGACACATGGGCAATGCATCACCGAGGGACTGCAGGAGATGTGTGCCCAGAATATATAGTACTGTGCAGTGCAGTGGAAACGAAGTGCAGCTTCATTGTCTGTGACAGTAGGTCAGACACATGCTGCACACATGCACGGATGACTCACACATGTGGAGTCGGTTCAGGATGAACGGTCTGATCCCGATTTATTGTCAACTCACCGAAAACAAAGTTGTCAGGCCTGAATAGCTGCCCAAATGGACCAGAGCGAACTGAATCCATGGTTCCTGGTTCCAGGTCCACCAGAATGGCTCGGGGCACAAATTTGCTGCCTTTGAATTCGAGGACAGGGAGGGATGTGGAGGGGTAATGGATGGAAGGGTGGAGTAAAATATCGACAGTCTCAGTAACCTCAGCAACACTGGCAGTAAACCATGAAGAAAAACCTCAGCATATTTCAAAAGATTCGCAAGCAGCATTTCCTTAAAGATACAAGCCTGTCAATTAAGCTGGGAATTCAAAGCGTCTTCTGTTCTTTTCTTGCTTTTTGCCTTGCCCCACCCTTTCTGTCTGTCACCCTTCTTGCAAAACTGCTGCAGCGTGCTGCACAGCTTAATCTAAACCAGTGGGGCTTTCAAAGTGCTGAGTCTTGCAGGATGTATTCAGACACAGAAGCAGTCTTCGTTGACTCTGCCTCATTTCGCTTTCTTGCTCAGTGCTGAAGTTTTTATGTTGCTTATGAATCTGCACTTTTTATTTTAAGGACAATTTGTTTTGTTCAGTCTGCATTAGGTAGTTACCTCGCTGGTGACACTGAAGCCAGCATGCAACGTGGAAACAAAGAATCAATAATGCATGCTGCTGGGAAATAGGATATGGGTAGGTTGTTGTCCTTTATTGCCAATGCAGATGAGTAAAGGGTTTGATATCAACCCTGGGTGCATGTGGATTGAGATGTTGACCGAAAACATGAGGCCTAATGATGAAACACAAATACTAATTCTTTATTATCCCTGCGCCTTTATTTACCAGGCACTGATTGACTGCTTGATGTACGGCAGCTGTGAGCAACAAAGCAGGTTGTATTTAGAAGGACCTGCAACACAGGCACCAGTAAAATCAGATACTGAGCATGAGTTCAGCTATACTGAGACTGCAGATACCTGTGCTCCCTATAGAAAGACAGAGGGGGAGGGGTGAGACAAGGACACAGAAAGAGAGATTTTTAGCAGGTGCACTGTCCTCATTTGTGTCCCTTCACTCATAGCAGAACCTAGTTTCCACTGCAGCTAAATTAGTGACATGAGCAAACTGTTACAGTCAAATGAGGTCTGTGTAGCATAAGGCCATGCAAGAATAATGATCAGTGGTTAACAAAGCTGCTTTGTGTATAGTGGAAAATTCAGATGCAAGCATGTGGTTTATATTAAAGCAACCTTTTCTTTCTCACCTGATGCCTCATTGTAGTAGACATTTATCCTCTCCAACTGCAGCTCACTGTCACCTTGGTAACTACCGGTTGGATCGATGCCATGTTCATCACTTATCACCTCCCAGAACTAAGACGAGGCAAACAAATTACTATTCATTAGCATTAAACATTAATTAATTTACTTATTTTTTTTAGAGTAACACAGCAAAAACGAAAACATGAAGCAAGTTTGAAGTGTGTGCGTCAGGCCTTGTTTTAGTTTTTGCGCATCTGGTGACACAATGACGCGCAGCAGCGCAGGCCACATCACCTGAAAGATCAACCAGACTGAACCGCTCCATATAGGTATGTTAAGCCGTGATTGGTCGATATTAAACTCTTAAAGACAGATTTGTAATCACTTCGATTTAAATGTGCCAAGCTAACAGCGCTTTGTAAACTATTAAGGCACACAAACGCGGTGGCGTTCCGCATTTAAATTAAAATTACTCCTTTAAATCCCTTCTTCAGAGATTAAATGAAGACATTTATACCTTGGCCCCAATCTGATTTCCGCACTGACCAGCCTGGATGTGAACGATTTCCCTCATGGTGAACTGCGGGTGCGTGCAGACAGCGTCCTTTCTCGACTTTAACTGGCGTCCACTCTTCAGTGTCTTGCCGCGGTGTTTCTCAAAATCAGGACTTGCCTCATTTCTCGGGTGAGTGTTGAGCCGGCGAGATAGATAAACGTGCTGCTGGTCAGATGACGTTATACACAACGCAGCATCCTCAGCATCCCTGTCAGCCAATGGGAGCGCCCCGGTTTGATGCAGTGGACCAGCGGATCATGCCGCATCATGGCCCTGACATCACCCTGTCCCATACAGGCAAGCATAAAAAAGGGGGTTGGCTTTCTCACTCGAATGGGGATGTTTTAAAAGATCCACATAATTAATTTCGCTATTAGAAGATGTCAGACTTTACCAGTTTAATGCTCCAGACTGCAGCTGCTGATTCATCCCAGTCGTCTTTTAAGCAGCTACCTGTAGAAACGAGGCCAGTTTTTAAGGCTCATGTGGGTTTTAAGGCTCAGCTAAGGCTAGTAGCGCACCTTTCCTTAGAAGGCACAGATTCTCCAGCTAGTTGTGCCACTGTATGTTACCTAAATGTATTAAATAACCGACTCTATGTAAGACTGGTCCTCAAGAGATAAGAGGTAAAAGTCATCTCTAGGGCACTTTACACTTTACATTTGATGCAGGCTAAAAAGGAAAATATCTTAACATTTAGGAAACGCGAGGAGTTATAAATCCTACTTTTTGATGCAATTGATTGCGAAATGTCTCAGCTTGTCTATAACGACTTGAAGCCCTTAGGCTTCAAGTCGTTATAGACTGCATTCAAGTTCGCCTATTTCCCCCTTCTTCATCTTCTTTGAATGCCATTATTAGAATACTTGAATAGACTTTTACTTTAAAAATGATTTTTGTAAAAGACGCAGAGAAGTCATAAATGTCATAAAAACACATCGATATCAACAGTTGATCAATAAATAGTGGTTTATTTTAACAACAGGTATGGCTTATATACAAGTGCATGATGACTGTTAAACTGAAAACAATATGAAACCAAACAACTGGAATTTATAAATGGTACAATCCATGGTTTTTTTTTGTTTTTTTTGTTATCATTTTATTTATTTTACATTCATTTAAATCTCCCCTTTAAAGAGATCTTAAGTCGCATGGTTAAGAGAAGCAACACCTGAAATGTGTATACTGGGGCCGTCCTATGTGAGACTTTCATCTGCCGGGTTCAAAACAAGTCCTTGCTAAGATCCAGGATCCTTCATCTTATTTAAGCTCGATGTTTCCACACATTTACCGTATTTACAAAAGACATAATCTTCTTCTTCCTCCTCTTTTTTGCTTGCTTTTCCAACAATTAAAAAATCCTATTCTATCGCTGGTGCTAACATTGCTTTGGATTACTTTCACTAAACTTTCATTTCGCTTCAAACAGAGCCAAATAAAAGGATTATTAACAAAAAGTGTAGTTACTCCCATCTGCACGGAAGAAACGTGAGGAAGCAACATATCTCAGAAGACACTGGTTGCATCGTGCTGTGTCATTAACGTTACAGATGTCGCGTGGGATTTAGTTGATACACACTTCAATTTTTGCAATACACACTTAGATAGAGAGAGATCAACATTCACCGAGGAGGATTCCGAGTAAAATGAAGCTACTGACCACTGCAGTCCACCCAATCTCAACTGCAGATGCCAAGATTTCCTTATTAAATCTAGTGTCAACACCCTTTTCAACATTGTAGACTGCATGCTGATCTATTGCGTGCAGTCTACAATGTTGAAAAGGGTGTTGTCAACTCCAACAAAATCTGACATCACACGATTGCAGGTCATTGTGCTTTCACGTGTAGCAGCACAGCATACACAGGTTTAAATGATCTCAAGAAATATTTAAACAATATTAATGACTAGATGGTCGTCGTTCACAGCCACCCTAGATCAATCAAAAAGTGGAGCCATCGTGGTGTGATTTAAGCTGCATTTGAGTAAAACAACCACAGGTAGGCTTTTGCAATCATTCAAATAAATATCAAAGGATATGCAGGCTTTAGTCAGTGCAAAGTTGAGTTTGATAAAAGCAAAACTTAATTCTAGTGACTGAAGTAGCTGTAAGGTTTACGGAAAATCTTCCGTCAAGTCGGCTGTTGCGTTTGACTCCTGAATGACACCTTAATAGAACTCCAAATACTCCCTGGATATAAGTAATTATGATACACTGTGATCATTTTAGCACATTTGAAATGACAACACATCACTCAGTTGGCTCTAAAGTTTTACAGTACAGTGTAATTATTATTATTATTATTAATAATAATGATCATTATTACGAGGATTGTTGTAAACAGTGGATTATCTGTAATCACACATCCTTCCTTAGACAAATATTACAACCTCCAAAGCACAAAGTACTACAACAACTGTCAAGTTTCACACACATTTAAGTCAAGTATAATGTTGTCCTCAGACGGACATGGGCTTTGGAAGGAAAAGTGCCTCCTCAAGCAAAAGTCTATCAATTTAAGAATATCAGTCGGTTAATCTGACTGAACGGTTGTGACCTGTATTTTTAAAATGTCGTTTTGACAAATGTAAGAAGTATTGCATTTTTTTTTCCTTCTTTTAAGGTAAACTTAGTTGTGCATGTGAAAGTATGAACACCCCGACGTTAATAAGCTCTTAATGTCGGACCACGATTCGGAAAACACAAGGTTAGTGGTGCTGCGACATTTGGCAATCACGTCAAACATTTTCGGGTTTAGGTTCAAAAATAATTTTTTTTTAGGATTTGATTTTTTCTTCTTCTTCTTTTTTTTTTTTTAAGCTTTTTTGTTTGTTGCCGACACATTCACAATAAATTGTCATGCTTAGTCCCCACTTCGAAAGATAAAGTGCCACCACACCGAGGTGCCACGAATACTGTAAGAATGAAGTATAGCTCTGTACAATAAGGGCACGCCATGAGAGATTATTCAAAACAATACTTGGAATTAAAAAAAACCAAAACAATCAAGCGTAACAAGTAATTATCAATATACTTACATTAATACATTTACAAAAAAAAAATCAAAAAACGTTTGCATACCATAAATTTCATTGGCTTGAATGATTGGAAAAATAAAAGTTTTTTCTGACCGACAAAATGTGGGTCATTCTTTTTCACCCACATCACTGCTCATATGCATCACAGATATGCTTTCTGTCAATTTTAATTCATCAAATGGTGATAAATTGTTCATTCTTCTTCTTTACTTCCTAGTTTTGGAATAGGTATCCACATATAGCCTATAGCAGGGGAGAGCACTTAACAGTATTCTCCCAAACAGGCAAATACTATATCACTAAAGTTTTGGCACTATTTCTACACTTTATTTTGGTCAGGGTAGTTTTTTGGCATTTTCTTTTTAAGAAAAAAAAAACTATTCCAATTCTGATTGCTTACCTCTATAGCAACAAAAAGCACTTTGTAACATTCAGATTTACTTGTCCATACATATAAAGCAACCTTTTTGTACAAATATCTTGACATTACCTTTGAGCACAAGTACCAGTGATTTTTGTTTGCTTGTTTGCTATTAGTACCATTGCATTTCTTCCCCAGTGCTGATGACACGTCTCAGTAATTATGGGAATTGCTTTAAGTCTCTTAAAAATGACAGTGATTTTGTCCCCGTTCATTTACGTCAGAGTAGTTAAAACGCTGGTGATTTCCAGTGACATTCAACGAAGCGCAGAAGTTACTGTCACATT